GGGTTCGGATCCCACATACAGACCGGTTGCCGCTCACTGGCTGAGCGAGGTACGGGAGCAACACCAAGGGTTGCGATCCCGTAGCCGGTCCCGGTCCAGTACGGGCGCGACACTGAGGGTTGCGATCCGTTGCTGGTCACGAAAAAAAGGGAAAAAATAAATAAATAAAAAATAATAAAAATAAAAATAAAACCAGATTATCAAAAACACCAGTGTTGGTGGGGATGTGGATGAAACCCTCACATACTGCTGGTGAAAACATAAAATGGTGCAGCTGCTTTGGTAAACATTCTGGCAGTTCCTCAAAAAGTTACATATAAAGTTAACATTTATCACCCAGCAATTCTGTTCCTAGGTACATACCCACAAGAAATGAAAACAAACATCCACACAAAAACTTGAACGTGAATGTCCATAGCAGCATTATTCATCATAGCCAAAAAAGGGAAAAACTCAAAAGCCCATTTTTATGGAAAAATAAAATGTGCGATACATCCACACAATGGAATACTACTGGGGAATAACAAGGAGTGAGGTATCGACATGCTATGACGTGGATGAACCTTGAAAACATTGTGCTAAGTGAAAGAGGCCAGTCACAAAAGACCACATATTGTGTGAGTCCATTTATATGACATGTCCAGAATAGGTAAATCTACAGAGACAGAAAGTAGACCAGTAATTGTCTAGGGCTGGAGGTCTGGGGTGAAACTGGGGTAACTGCTAACCAATATGGGGTTTCTTTTCGAGGAGATAAAATATTCTAAAATTGATTGTGGTAATGGTTGCACAACTCAGTGAATTGTATATTTTAATAGATGAATTGTATGTAATGCAAACTGTATTTCAATAAAGTTGCTGCTAAAATATATATAAATTGAATATATACAAAATAAATATACTCATATATGTAAACTGAAAAATATCCAGAAAAGGAGCCCCGAGGATTTTGAAAGCCAGAGAAAAAATATATAAAAAGGACAAGTAGATTGCTAGATTGCTACATTAACAAAAAGCTGGTTAGAGATGTCAAGCTTAATTAAACAACAATTTGAGAAACATAAGATACAAACAACAATCTATAAAGGTTCTAGACTGCTGAGAAGGGGTAAACCAACACTAGAGGTTGAATACCACATTATTTCTGAAAACATATTCAAGGTTCATTTAATACAAATATGTTAGAAGTAATGAAAACAGCTGTGATGCAGTATTTACTAAAAATATGTGTTAATCAAATTGAAGGTATCCTTTTTGAATGGGAAAAAGAAGACTACAAACAATAAAAAAGTATACAAGGCAAATAAATTAGTAGAAATTTATCAACTACAACATGTAAGGCAACTGAATAAAGCAAAGATCACTGCCTGGCATAAAAACAAAATCGAACACTCTGTTGTCCTTAGAGATACAAGTAAACCAAAATACAAATAGGATAGATCAAGGTTTAACTTAAGATTTATCATGTCTTTGCAAATACAAAGAAAAGGTGAAGCTTACTATCATGCAAATGATATCAGAAAATGTTAAAAGGTATGTAAAACTATGAAAATAAAGAACAGTGCATCTTAATGCTTAAAACATTATAGCAACAAAATATTCTGAAGACTTGTTATTAAAATTTTCAAATATCACATTACAGCAGATTTGACAGGTAAGGAATTAAAAACCTCAATAAATGAGATCCATTGAAAACATTACTTCTTGACCCAATATCTCCAGAACTCTTAAGGACAAATGGTAAGACATAATTAGCTGTATCTTAGTAAAAATTGTTTATTTCTGTTTGCCACTTTCAACCACCCCACCGATTTTAATCTTATAAATGGTTATGATGTCCAATCAACCTCTGTACATCTCTCTGTGCAGTGGTCTATAATGTTCACCATGTGGACCACACAATATATGTTTATTATTGATAAATAATAAAATACTTGTTGAATAAGCAAATATATTCCAATGAAAATAGAGATAATACTGCCAAAACAGCTCAATTTGTTAAAAAGAATTCCAAATATATAAATAGTAGTTTCTTTTCTCTCCACCTGATGGATAGAATACATTATTTCTTTCCTCAAAATCCAAAGCCAACCTATAATTTAAATTACTTAAAGTTATCTAATAAACACCAAATAAAGTTTTAAAAGTTTATTTCTACTGACCTTGTAAGAATGTAAGGTGAAAATGAAGCTGGATTATCCTGCTCTGAAAAGAGGGGCATAGATCCTCCCATTATCCACAGACGGAGGTACAAGATGACAATCACCTTCGGAGAACAAGATTTGGTAAGATGGCCATCAACAATCTCTTAGTGTGTGCATTCTGCTCCTCCTGTCCAGAAATGGAGTCAGTTGCCCCTCCCCTTAAATTTGGGGTTGGTCTTCTGACTTGTATTGACCAACAGAACATGGTAGAAGGTACACTGTTTCAGTTGCAGGCCTGACCCTTGAAAGGTCCTGTGACTTTTGGTTCATTCTTTTAGAACCCAACTGCCATGTTATAAGGAAGTCCTGACCATCCTTCTAGAAGGAGAGGCCACTGGGAGAGGCCCTCGAGGATGACATACCAGAGAAAGAGAGACCACGTGGAAGAGAACCAAGGTGATCTAGTTCAGATGACAGCTGAAAAAACTAGGCTGTGTAACCCCGGCCGAAAATCATGACAACCAGAAGAACCACCTGGTTGAATGCTGCCCAAACTAAAGTATTTGGAAGAGAACCAAGGTGATCTAGTTCAGATGACAGCTGAAAAAACTAGGCTGTGTAACCCCGACCGAAAATCATGACAACCAGAAGAACCACCTGGTTGAATGCTGCCCAAACTAAAGTATTCAGGGAAAATATATGATGGTTGTATTTAAGCCACTAAATTTCGGGGTGGTTTGTTATGTAACAATAGATAACTGATACAACCAGGTTTGTGTTGCCTCCTCTTGAGACAACTCTGCATCAGCACCTTGAAATGGACATGTAGTTCACATTGGCCATGTTACTAGGTTCACCTATACCCAGAGGCTTTCATATATACCTTTCAATGCTTTGTAACATTTATGGCATGTAAACTCTTTGATACATGTTGTTAGAATGTATTGCTGATTCTATTAAATAATCTGGATCATGTCTTTGAACAGAGTTAAAATAAAATTTCTCATCAAACATTTCAAAAGTATATGTATACTTACATAACTTATGACCAAAATGGCCCTTTTTAAAAATGGTCTCATGGTAAGCAGGAAATTTCTATTGCTGCTTGCTGTCAGATACCTGAAACAGGAAAGAAGGAAAAAAAAAAAAACCTTAAATGAGTATAACAGTCTACCACACATAACCTTGTCCTTTCTTTTTTTTTTCCTTTTTGTCTTTTTTCGTGACCGGCAACGGATCGCAACCCTCAGTGTCACGCCCACACCTTGCTCAACCAGTGAGCGGCTGGTCTGCATGTGGGATCCGAACCCTCGGCGGGAGCGCCGCTGCGCTCCCAAGCGGCGCACCGTAGCAGTGTGCCACCGGGCCGGCCCAACCTTGTCCTTTCAACGTGAATATACTGCAGCTCTGAAGGCTGCAACGGACCAAAGCTAAGAGCGTGGCCTCTGGAGACAGAATGCCTGGGTTTCAATCCCCCAGCTCTGCTGCCTACAACTTGGGAGACCTTGGGCAATTTTCTTAACTTCTTTGCATATAAAAGGGGGATAATAATAGTATTATTCTGACAACTATATGGTTACAAGGGTCACAGGGATGATTTTCAACAAAGGAGACTTTATTCACTATTTGATGTAATTTGAGGGGTATAATGTCTTCCACCCACAAACTATCTCATAAACTTCTTACCCCTAAAAAAAGAGGATGCTGAGGCTGCACGATTTTCCCAAGGTAACAAAGTCAGTGAACATCAGTAGTGGGATTAGAGCTCACGCATACACAGTGAATCATTTTCTCACCTGCCTATGGTCCTCGGAACCAAACTCAGACACAAGAATGTCAAGTTCTAGAGGGGCAGGAACTTGTGTGGATCCTGCACCTGCCACAGCTCACTCACTTGCACAGAGTGGGAGCTCCGGATAGCCACATGGAAGACACGTGGCTGGATGGCTTTAATAAAGACGATGAAAGGGAAGCAAGAGGATCTATTAACAAGCCCCAACTAAAAGCATAAAGCATGTCACTTTCACCTACACTCAAATTCTATATTTAAAGTACAGACTAAATCTATATTTAAATTCTATATTTAAAGCCAAATCAGATCACATAATCCAGCAAGCATTTCCCACCTAATCCTTATTTCCCTGACGCCCTTTTATTTTTTCCCCCTTTTACTCATTTTAATCCTATTTTTCCTCAAAGGATTTCGCCCCAGCATCTCTTAAAATCTGATTTTAATGAGGTCTCTTTACACAAGGGGAATGTTCTATAGAGAGAGAAATCCTTTTGCAAGACCAGGGTGAGTTAGTATCTCACTAAGAAACGTCCACCTTGAAGATAGTTTTGTAACAAATGGCACTGTAAGGAGGAGACAGCTTCACTCAAAGGCAGGTGTCTCCCTTCTCGCTTCCTTTTTCCTTTTCCTGGATTATGAAGTGCGGTGGAAGTGATAGTTGCTCAGATCTGACCATTCAATGACTGGAGAAAATAAGGGGCTCAAAAAACACAAAATAGTCAGCTTTTAGCAAGCTCTAGACGGGATCCACCCTTACGTACCACACTTAATTCCCATTTTCTTTCTTCCAACCGAGAGCTTGGAAGGAAGAAGGCCAGGGATACTGTCACACTCACAGCACAGGTACATAATTAGTGTCCCAAAATGGGCTTAAGGGAGTCCACTACTTCCAGAATTTGTACACAAGATTTTGTGTATATTTGCATCTGGGTATTTTTCTGAGGCAAAGTACATGGCATTAAGCTTCAATGTCAACTGGGTGTCTGATCCCCAAAAGGTAAAACACTGCAAAGTGTCGTCCTCTCAGCTCTGACTGTAACTCTCATTTTCAGGCCAACTCAACCAAGACCAACTCTGGATAATTCTGCTATTACTTTAAAGGATGCAGGATAAATGGCAGCAGGAAGGTAAGGGGATGACACTGTGGGCAAGAAAAGGCACTGGGCAGGGCTGGAGTCACAGTGTATCTGAACGAAAAGCACTTCTGAAGGTGGTCTGCTTTTGGAAGTTTCATTTTGCTAAGTTCTCTCTGTTGCTTATTTATTTTAACACGGTGGAAAAATTAGAAGTGGTTTTCCTTTCCATACAACTACAAACCACAGAGTTTAGGATTTTTTTTTAATGTTAAACTGAGATAAATTCCCCACATTTTGTTTCACTGAGAGCTCTATTTCAGTGAGTTATATTTATAAAGTGCCCCACGGTTCAGAAATTCTTGGAAAAATTCCATTTTCTCAAGAAGTTAAGCTAAAGGCACCAAATAATTTACTTTTAAAATGTAGCGTCCCAAAGCAAGGAAAGCCTGGAATGGTACAGAGAGCAGTGTTAAAAGAAAAGTCCTCTTTTCAAGATTTCTATTTCCAGTTGTTGACCAATAGTAAACAAGAAAATAAGCTAGAATGACATGGCCCCCTTTTTTGGGAAGCACTAAGTCAGAGGGTAAGATTTGTAAATCCAGATAAGGAGTACTCCAAGGGCTAAATCCTCTGCTTCTTTCCTCCTCCCCACCCAGAACAAAATTGGACAGTGGAATTTTCTCCATCAGTCCATTATGTATGGTTTGTGAAGCAGAAGCAAACAACAACAAACAACAATATTATTAACAACAAAAATACAAACAGCAAATGATATGTGCCAGACACTAATATTTGTATTTAAATGAAGTAACGTGTTCACCACTTACACCAATTCCATGAGGAAGAACATTATAATTCCTTTTTTATAGAGGAAGAGACCAAAAAATTATAAGTAATACTTAACTACTATATCAGATTCTCTTGGTTATTCATTTCAACCATAAGACAAAGTACCTGAAAGTGCCTTACAAACACAAGACACTCTGCAAATGCTATTTCGGTCGAGTTTGCCAATGTTTTCCTCGCAAAGGAAGAACATTGCAGAGAACATGCCAAAAACAAAACCCAACCACTGGGGAAACCACTAGAATGAGAAACAAGGGTCCAGGCTTCTATTCTTGAGCTTTAATGTAATTTATTGCATGACTTAGAACGAGTCTAACATTGCAGAGAACATGCCAAAAACAAAACCCAACCACTGGGGAAACCACTAGAATGAGAACCAAGGGTCCGGGCTTCTATTCTTGAGCTTTAATGTAATTTATTGCATGACTTAGAACGAGTCTTACAGGAGCTTCATTTTCTTCCTTTATTAATGAGAATTGGACTAAATGGTTTCAGGGTCCCTTTCAGATAAAAAATATTGTGATCCTTGGATGTTCTCACTCACTGATGACATAATAAATGAGTAAAGGAAAACAGAGAAATCTACCCAATTTCAAAAAAAAAGGTTACGTCAGGGGTGGTGGGTGGAGGCAAAGATTAGTTGACCTTCCAGTGTGAGTAGACCCTTCATAATTTGCAGTTGCATATGAAAAAATAGTTTAACACTAGTTTGTGTTATTGGCATTGTCAAAATGAGCATCTTTTGGGCCGGCCTGGTGGCACACTGGATAGTGCACCGCTTGGGAAGCGCGGCGGCGCTCCCGCCCGAGGGTTCGGATCCCACATACAGACCGGTTCCCGCTCACTGGCTGAGCGAGGCGCGGGAGCAACACCGAGGGTTGCAATCCCGTTGCCGGTCCCCGGTCCGGTACGGGGGCAACACTGAGGGTTGCGATCCGTTGCTGGACACGGAAAAAAGACAAAAGACAAAAAAAAAAAAATTACTTAATTTTCTCTGCTGTCCTTTTGTCCTGAGAATTAGTCAAATGGGTCTCATCTTTGGTCGCTTATTGGAGTCACCTGGGGGGCTTTTAAAAATCCCATGGGCCTCACTATGCCAGTTACAGTTGAGTCTAGGATGCAACCTATGCTTAAATTCAAGCTCCTCAGGGGAGTTCAATGTGCAGCCAGTGTCAGCAAACGTTTTGTGTAAAGGCCAGGTGGTAAATACTTCAGGCTTTATGGGCTAGACAGTCTTGGTCCCAACTATTCAGCTTAGGGGGGGGGGGGGGAACGAAGCCCAGAAATAACTTATTGCAAAAGGTCACGGTATTGCAGTGTCAAAGGTAAACGAGTTTAGGCTTCATTAATTTAATCGGAGGATACAAGTTATATTCCCTCTACAATTAATTTGGTCAGAGACTCCAGTTTTTTATTCTTTGTATAGGTAATAGCAAAAATTCAGTTTTGGTGATATACGCTTGTCTCTCATTAACAGTTCCAGAGAAGTTTCAGTTCATTAGTAATAGGAGGTACTTGTTGCTCTCCTTAATTTCCTGGCCTCCAGGGGATATCGAGTGACCCCCGGCAAGGCCCAAATTTCTTTTCCTTCACTCACCTATTTGGGAGTCCACCTCACCCCCAACACCAGAGAAATATCGGCAGATCGCAAGAGCCTAATTTCTGAACTCCCTACTCCTACCACAAAGGGTGAAACCCTTTCTTTCTTGGGGCTTGCTGGTATCTTCACCTACGGATTCCTAACTTTGGCGTGCTAGCAAAACCACTTTATGAGGCAGCCAAAGGGGATCCTGCCATTCCCTTAGATCCCAAAAAGCCCCTTCATTCTCCCTTCCAGCAATTAAAAGCCGCTCTCCTCGCAGCCCCAGCTCTATCCCTTCCAAGCCTATCTCATCCTTTTATCCTATATGTCATCAAAACCCACGGATTGGTGGTCGAGGTTCTGGGACAAGAGGCAGGAAGATAGTTTCTCCCTGGTTACATACCTCTCTAAACAACTAGACACCACAGCCTGGGGATGGGCCCCCTGTTTATGAGTCTTGGTGGCAGCCACCCTTTTAACACAAGAAAGCTCTAAACTAACTTTGGACAACAAACAGTCAAGACCTTCTCAGCCATAAGACAAAGTCAATTCTCTCTCCTTCCCACCTACAACTTATCCACCTTACTTTCATTGAGAATTCCCAGTTTTCCTTCAAACCTTGCCCTCCCTTAAATCCAGCCACGCTCATCCCAAAACACTCATGACCCTTAGAACACAATTGTGTGGAGGCTTTGGACCTCCTTCTCAATCCCTTTCCACACATCTCCCCACACCCTATCACACAGCCTAACCTACACCAGCCTCAGTCATCAGGCAAAGCAGAAAAAGCCAATCACCTCATAAAAACACACCTCACCAAGCT